ATCAGCAGTGTACTCGCCATCACTCAGTGTCATTCAGCTCAGAGAGTTATATCAGTGCAAATCATCCAAATTCTGGTAAGCTGCATAGGCGAGATCTTAATATGTGCAAAATAAATTCTCTTCCACTTAATAAGTATTTACCTCGAAATATGCAAATCACAAATAGCCAATTTACCTGCAGACTGCGATGCTGTCTACTAGCAGTGCTAGTGATAGTTTTCATAAAACACTTTACAGAAATGCTTTCCGACAGTATCTGTGTAACATGGATGTCATAGAAACATTGAGAATGGTATTTGCAGCGATTGAGTCAATGATCCATCCAACTGATATTCAGTATAGCTTCATTAAAAGAGATTAGTATTTTGCATGATGTAAAATCATCCAAGCTTTTTATCTAGAAATAGACTCAAGTCATGTTTATCAATCACAATATTGATTTCCGCACACACATATTCATAATATCATCAAATTTTACTGTTAAATATCTTTGTGTTGAAAGTCACATCATATGATACAGAATGACAGTTTGCGTCATTCATAGATTTGGATAACTCACGTTAACTATAAAAGTATAAAAGTGCTGAGAGAGAGAGAGTAAGAAGAAGCCATTTGTGAAACTAAGCTCACAAGATGAAAATGATTGTTTCGAGAATGTTGATGGCTGTGATTCTCTCTTCGCTGATAGTCAACTCAATAGCTACATCAAGTGAGTGGAGCTTTTATTTCATATTCATCGTCGTTGTATAAACTGAATACCTAAATATTAGTATTCTCAGATGGTGTGATGTGTTTGTCAAGTGAGATATTGGGTAATAATGGCACTAATATGAATGACTGAGCCTCACTTTCTACACATCGAAATGGATGTTAGGTGTGTTGTCTGTGATTTGGTGTGATTGTGATAATAACAGTTCAATTCTTGTTGTTTGGCTGTCGCTCCAATATTTCTTACATGGAGTGATGTTAAAGCGAGACGAAATTCAAAGGCTAGCAAATACCCAGCTATTGTAATTTCTGCATTTTGGCTGATGGATAACGATGTGTTGATGACTGTGGTTTTGAAGGGTGTAACAGAAGTGATTAACTAAGTGTAGTCATTTTCGACGCTGGCCACACTCTATATGTGTAATCTGAGGTGTATAAGACATTCTGTCTTGTCCTGACACATCGTTTTTTGATTCTCCAGGATGTTTGTATATTTCGAAATTAAACTAATAAATAAATCCATACAACCCATAAAAAATTTCTGAAAAATGTATGTGTTTTGTGCGGAAATCGGTATCTTCTTGACACAACCAATCCAGGATAATAATAGTAAGTGAATAGTGTGTCTCGTTTTATTCTGTGTATAAGCGTTTGTCTAGTGTCTTTGACATTGAAGTCACTCGACTGCAACATGAAGACACATCTTGTCTGTTGAAATCTATTTCAGAGCGAAGATACAAATGCTATATATGCCACGATTGTAAGAAACTTTCGAGAGATACTGTCAAGGAACCTGGTTGTGGAGCTTGCCTTGTAAGACGAAATTATTAATATTCATGAGTATTTCACAATATTTCAAAGTAAAATTTACACAGTAAACTGGTTGGTATAATAGTATTGGTTCTAAGGGTATAATAAGAATATAATGGTATTATATAGCCTTAATCCTTCGTGTTATTCGTCTGTGAATCTCATAATTTGCCGCTTACATTCACACGAACAATGGGTCATATTGATTCAGACGACAGCATATGATTTCTCAGTGTTGTCGATGCATGCGTCTTGTTGATGAAAATCAGCTATCATCCTAGTGGTTTTGCAATGTTCCTGTTGAAATATTTGTCCTTAAATGCAGTGGAATATTTTAATTCATGAGAATAGCTGACCACGTTGTTTCACGTAACTGATTGTCTAAATCTGACAACTTACCAATATCATTTAATTAAATTAGCTTCGAGTACAAACGGCCTCACAAAATGTCAGTATCAGGTGAATGATCATCGGAAAAGCATTTCTAGCTAACAATTTTTAAGACAGAAGAAAATGTTTGACTTCAGATTGTATAAATGTCTTTCATTCAGTACTCAGTTGTATGAATTGATTTCATCGATCCATAGAATGGAACAGAGATGCTTCTGGTCGGGTGTTTTAATTAATTTCAGAGCAGAGGAGGTAATCTAGAAGATAAATGTCATATATATACTGTAATAGAATGAGTTATTCATTAAGAAGCCTATGGTAATTGATTGTCAGTATAGAAGTTACACGTGGAGTATGAAGGTGAAGATTTAAGGAGAGACATGAGACATAGTAGATTTTAAATCACACAGGACTGAAAATGTATGGAAATAGCTATTTCGAAACAGCTCATTCACACACTGTTCCTTCTTTGTCTGGTTGTGGATAGAATAGTCACATCATTCATATTCGGTAAGTGAAATAGAATATCATAATCTATATTCGTAAAGGTTTACGGTATTTCAGATATAATTTGGATGATACCATTACATTATCCTAACCAGCTCACACAGTAAAAAATTTCTTCTTTTTAACAATCCAGAAGTATGTGTTTCAAGGTTCGGGTCGTGTCGACAGGGGGTGCACGAGGTCTTGTGATGACTTAGAAAAAAGGACGGATGCAAAAATCTACTGCTGCAAAGGCGATTTATGCAACTTAAGCTCGAAAGTCAATTTGAATCCAACGTTTATTTATTCTATTCTTTTCATTTCTTTCACTATAATACATTTTAGTAGATTATAGCCACTTTAAATACATTATTGGTTTCACATAAATTCAGACAGTGTCGTTGCTACTTCTTCGTATTCAGAATAAAACACATTAGGTCAGTTTCGTGCTTTGACCTTTAATTAGCTCTAGTGTAGCATTCAGTGGGTGGGCTTCTTAGCCTCAAGCTCAGCCTTCACAATTCACCTCGCTGATTGTAAGCTAATCGACGTTAAGAATTCAGTTGACTGTATTGTCTCTGACGACATGATTCTGGTGAGTGTACACACATATCATCCCAGGCGAAGTAGAAACGAAGGATTAGAACTGAATGAATATGATGCGTGTATTGTACGTTTTACAGTTGAAAAATCTCAATGGTTTTGCATACTGAGCAGTGAGAATGTTCTAGTAGTTGTGAACTATTTGTGACTGCAAGACGGATTTATCCTAGTGTCCAATCAGCTGGCGTGTCATTAGAATGTGAAATCGAGTCAGAATTTTATCTTCAGTTAATGTGGAGTTCGCACTTCAATGCATTATTCACATGTATCATGGAGTGTGCAGGGAAACATCAATTTCTCAAACTATTTACGACTTCCATCTACTTATCTATTCGCCAGTTGCCTGGTGTTATGAAATTGACTGGAAAGTCAATCCAGGTGAACACAAATAATACATGTGAAAAAGCATCATGGTTGACTGTATTCAGGGAAGACAACTGGTGTTACTTTTGTATTACTCCTGAGTCTAAATTTCTCCGAATGACCTTTCGACATCTAAAATATCGAAATCCAGTTCACAGACATCCCTTCTGGAAATGTGAATGGCTAGACAGTATCTTGGAATGAGAAAATCGAAATCGATTAAATGTTATAAGAATTTGAAGGCTATGTGGAATGTAAACACACAAAATGCATGACATCTCTATTTGATAAGCACAATTATGAACAATCATGTCAACGAAACTGCATTAGCACCTGCTTTTTAACCATCATGTGAATTGTCAAATGTTAATGTTTTCACTCAAAGTATGATAAGTGTGGACTGACTCATATTATCATGTATTTGTATGCATGTGATAAATATGGGTGTTTTTGAGTGTGTTAGAAGTTGATTGAAAATTCTCTCTCTTATTAGCTATTGTAGACGCTTTCACACTCGAGCTTGTGTTCACATGTTACAGTGAACTACCATGGCTAATTGGATAACTTATTGGATTATTCTATTGACCTTGGCGGCCTGTTCGAATTTTTGGGCCTGCTACTATAATGACGCTAGTTGTGCGATTTCAGCCTGACTGAATAGTATATTATCAGTTACACTATGTAAACCGAGACGATCTTTTATGATCTGATCAATTATTTGTGGATTATATGAATAAGGTGTATCGGACACCTACGAATTGACTGATATTGAGTTGCAGAATATATCTTCAACTCTCCGCCAGATTCCGATGTCTTGTTGGTGACATCTACTAGTTAGTTGTGTTGATGATTTTCAATCTCTGATTCCCATCCATCGACCACACTCACAACTGATCATTAATTCATGTATCCACGTGATTAGCAGAATACTGATGTAAAATACTGTTTATCGGCGTAGAGCTGATGATGATGATGGTAACGATGAGTAACCAATTGTAGATGAATATATTTGTTCACTTAAGCTGTTGAATTTCCTGATTGTGAGAACCGATGGTTAGGCAGAATTGGTAAGCACAATTGCACTTCATGTGAAGATATAAAAGGCGCACGTGGTGGAAGTATGCAGAAGTTAACACCAGAGAAGACCAATCATCATCGTTGATAGAAGTGTGAATGAGATTGTCATTCCTACTAATCCGATTTAGACAACATTAGTTTGACTATAGGTGACACAGATGAGGATATCAGAATTAGCCTGTATTGGTGGTAGGGCAGAGAGGTGTCCATCACACAGAAGCTCACAAACGTGCTCCTTTACCTAACCCTAACCTCTGCATCATACGTGTACTGCGAAAAATATATTCCAAATCAAACAAATATGCCTTCTCTCACCTCAACAGTAAATTTCAACGGAGATGCTACTCACAAGACAACTTACGCAAGCTCAGATGCATGTTGAAAGACACTAACTGGGACTTATTTACAGAAAAAACATTAGATGACACAACCACAAACACTACTGATTATCTTAAATTCTGTTTCGAAATATGTTGTCCTAAAGAAACATTATTCATTCGATTTGACCGTTTCTCTTCTCCACATCTCATAAAGCCACGTAGAAATAAAGAACTGTTGATGAAAACAAATGATAAGTCAGGTGTAAAAATGTTAAATACCCCGATAAAACTGGAAATTCAAAGACTAAATGTTTTATATAACCAAAGATTCTTGTCATGTAAAACCCCTTCTAGTTTGTGGAAACTCTTCAAAAAAATTACTAGCGGTAAGCGATGTACTTCTGTCCCATCTCTTAATGTTGATACTCTAAATAAGTCTTTCATTCTCTCTTCTGTCGATATCCTTCCTAATGTTACAAATCATATAGACAACAATTTTAATGGTTTTAATACCCTTGATGTGATAAATGTCTCCAGTATCTTAAACCTTCCCAAAGCCTTGGTCCTGATGGTGTAGCTGCTCTTGTCTTCAGGAACTGTGTTGATATTTTATATTACTTTCTTAATTATATTTTTAATGCTTCTACCTTTTGCATGGAAAAACATTAAAATTACCCCCACACCAAACCATTCTCTGGTACTGATATCAAATTTAGGCCTATTGCAATTACTTCTCCTTTTTTTAAAATTGATGGAAAAATTACTTTTAATTCGTCTTGAACATTCATTGAAACCTTTTAATGATCCTAAACAATTTTCATATAAACATGGTAGATGTACTTCGGATGATGCAGTTGTCTTATATCATAATGTTGTTCCTTGTCTAGACAAAGGTGCCAAATATGTTCGTGGTGCTTTCCTAGACTACACATCTGCTTTTGACTCTGTACCTAGCGGCCTCTTAATAAATAAGCTTTCGTTGACGCAAACAGGATCCTGGGCTAAGAGTTGGTTGCATTCTTATTTTTTTGAAAGAATGCAGTATTCTGTATATAATCCTAAATCTTCTTCTGCCTTACTCACAAAAGCCGATGTTCCTCAAGGTGCTGTCCTCTCTCCTTTTATTTTTTCTTTCTTCCTACACGACCTGCCTCATTCAAACGAAACTAACTTTGTCAAATATGTGGATGATCTGACTGTGTCACTGTCTATCACTTCCGAGTCTGACTGCTCCAAACTTAATAGTTTTCTGCTGGACATCAGCAAGTGATCTAAGTCAAATGGCCTTATGTTAAACCCTTCCAAATGTCAGGTAGTTAACTTTACTTTCAAGCATCGACGTGACATATATGATCTAGTTATTTCCCATGATGCCTGTAGCATAGATGGCACTGAAATTGAAACCAAGTCAAGCATTAAATACCTTGGATTAGTTCTTTCCTCTGACCTTTCATGGTGATCCCACATCTTATCAATCTCTAAGAAAATGTTTCGTCTTACCTTCTACAAAAGTTTAGACAATCAGGTATCAACCAACCTTTACTTCTGCAGTTTGTAAACTCCCGTATTTTACCCACTGTACTCTATTGCTCTCCATTAACCTTTCCTGGGCTTTTCAAAAAAGACTATATCATATTACGGAGGGTATTAAATCCTGTGAGTAGGGCTTGTGGTATGCCACTGCGCGAGCTCGCCTATATTATAATCTAGAGACACATAAGTTCCTGTTCAAAATGGGCAAAGGCTATACTGTCAGACCCTCTGCACCTCCTTTGTTCACAACTATCCCCATGCATCTCATCAGGTAGGACGCGAAGTCAATATAAGAAGTTATATGCACGAATCACTAAGAACAAAAACTCTACAATACCCTATTTAGCCCGTATTTTATGTGATGAAGACACTGTTAGACGTGAAAGATATAAGTCACTATGTAATTCGCAAAGTGAATCCACCCTTTCATCTTTCTGTAATTGTATGGTGTCACCCTTTCTATCGTTTAATTATAACTTAGCGATTTTTATTTAGTTGTTATTAATATTATTACTACTACTTTATACTTTACGCATATTTTTCTCGTTATTCCATACTGTAATTTGCTACATAGCTGTTTTGTTAATATTATTATACAATTTTTATTTTTTCTTGTTTCGAGCAGATTAAATGTAATATTGTACTGAATGCTGAAAATTCGTTGTTGTATCATTAGTACTGTTTATGGAATAAAGCAAAAAATTAGTATTTATTACCTCCTAAATAAATCATTTATGTGTGACAAAATTTACTGAACCTACTTTTCACAATGATTCCAAGTTGTAGGTACAAAAACGAATAAGCAACATAATTTCAGAGATGGTGTGGGCAGACAAATATTCTGTTAAGATTCAGATTTCTCTTGGAATCAGGGTTAGACTAGAGACAAAATACAAGATGAAAAAACAACAGAGTCAATTTATACATATTGTGGTGGGGAGTTCAGGAGGGTGGCAGTGAACAGTCACGCAAAACCACAAAGTAAATAAAAATAATTTAATTTAGCAGATTTCTAACCTTACTTAATAGTGAGTTCAACTCATGGAGGGAAAATCAGAATCATGACTGGGTGGAATGTTATGCAACAGAACAAACCACAAAGGCAATCGGACAAATCACTTATGGTTACAGAGATTAGTCACACTCTCTTCATGTATCCATAGGTTGTGTTTTGATGTATTTTGATGGCAGTGGCTTCTGTGAACCGACGAAACCATGATTTTCTTGTGTATTGATTATTTTGAAAGCCCGACTAGATTCCACAGTATATCCAGTATCAATTAATTTTCTGACGATTATGAGTGAGAACACTTTGCTGCCTTTCAAACGGATACATTTACGGATATGCTTGGAGAATCTAGCCGACACTCTCTTATCAGTCCGGTTATCCTTATTACCAACTGCTGGTCCCTGCCTAACAAAACTCTGGATTTTCAGTCCCTTTTGTCGTCTGAAATTTATCACAATATTGGTATTGTCACTCTGCAAGATACCTGCCTCCATGACTTATATGATTAAAATATAGTATCTTTAAATGATTTCAGTGTATTCCGACAAGACCGTGTTTGTTCCCATAAAAAATGTGGCGGAGGTGTTTCAACATTTATTCATTCTAAATGGTCCCTTTGTAATAAAGTTTGTTTCAAATCCTCGAATGACTACATTGATTGCATCACTGTGAGCTTTCGCCCCAAAGTCTTGTCAAAGTACAAATTCATTTATATTTCAAATGTTTATGTCTCTACTGGTTGTAGTCTGCAGCTGATGAGAACATATGAAATAGAATGATATCATTTTATACTGCGAATTTCGTCTTCCTTTCTTTATCGAAATTTATCAGTCTCCCAATATCATCGAACCCGGGCTCCAAACCATCCTCTTCTAGACGGGAACTGACCTTTACCAACTTATTTTGCAAACGAACCAGTAATCTCTTAGCAATAGTCTCAAGTAGCTAACTCGAGTTCAACTCATCCATGCAATTAAGAGAAACGAGGGTATTTCTATACACCCTTAGACTAACCAAAAACTCTGCGAGTTCCTCTGAGTTATCGCTTAACTATGCCCCACTACCTTCAACAGTCTCGAAAACGCTACTGGATATCATAAACGGCTTCCCAAACCTTTGTCGCAGTATCCTCACAGTTTCACAGTTTCCTTCGTTTGGGGGCATAAACTTACAGCACTGTATAGCTCTTGCCGCAAATCCAGTGCAAAACCTCAATCAATACATCAACTTCATTCCATCATTTATCACAAAACCACTCAACATGACTTCTAACTCTTTGACAAACTGTGGATAGTCGGCTGGGTTTCCGTCAAAATACCGAGGCTCAAATTCCGGAAAATTGAAACCCCTACTATCACTAGACGGCGAAACATGAGCATCAATCTTATCATGCTGCGCATCAAACACATCATTACAAATAACAGACAAATGATCATTACTTGCGTTTTTGTCTGCTTCCAAGGCGCCACGTCCCTTCTTCGGCCTAGCCATCATGCAACGTCGACAAAGAAATCCGAATTGCGTTAAGATAATCCGTGTCCAAAGATGCTGAAGGCAGACCAAATAGGTACTCTCCAGAAGAGTTACTGAAGGCGCTAAAGAAAATGAACAGAAGAATAAAACTGTCAAAGAACTTAACCCTAAGTTCCTATTATTTGCGAAGACTGTCCCAATCGATAATTACTAGGAACGATTATCAACTTAAACTCCAAAACACCAGGACTTGCAATCAGAAATTATATTCTTCGGCAGTTGAATTCGATATCATTACAAAGTCTATAAAGAAATGTTTTACAAATAAATATAACGTACTCTTATTCGTATTCTTTCGTCTTCTTCTAACTTGTACACGAATGAACGATTCGCGCCTTGGAGTTGCCCGTCAATGGCTACCAGTTCCAATAAAATACTTTCATGGTTCGCGTCTATTGACAGATGTTTTCTCCCAATATTCAGAATCAGATGGACAGAAAGGAAACAAATCCTTGTAATTCGGTAGGCAAGGATTCGACCGACATCATACTGTTCTACAAGTATGTGGATACGACTGGAGGTGGATAGTTTCCTTAACGAACTGCAAAATGAAGCATTTATATATTTTTTTCGAATTGGGCTAAGACAGTTGCAGTAATATTGCATTCTCATTCAACTCCCTTCAAAAGCCTACATTCACTTCAAACAATCTTTTCTCTATCTTTATAGCTTACGAAGAAGAACAAGTATCTATGTGAAGAGAAAATTGAATTAAGGGTGCCTTGAAAAGAACGCTTTGGGCATTTTGACTCCTTCCGCTTTACAACACAATATTCTCGTTAATCCAGTCAAAGTTAGATAACTATCCTGCTCATTTCAACTCGTCTAACTGCATTTATCGATTCACCTGCAGCAAGTAGGGAGGAGGGACTGATAAGAGAGTGTCGGCTAGATTCTCCAAGCATATCCGTAAATGTATCCGTTTGAAAGGCAGCAAAGTGTTCTCACTCATAATCGTCAGAAAATTAATTGATACTGGATATACTGTGGAATCTAGTCGGGCTTTCAAAATAATCAATACACAAGAAAATCATGGTTTCGTCGGTTCACAGAAGCCACTGCCATCAAAATACATCAAAACACAACCTATGGATACATGAAGAGAGTGTGACTAATCTCTGTAACCATAAGTGATTTGTCCGATTGCCTTTGTGGTTTGTTCTGTTGCATAACATTCCACCCAGTCATGATTCTGATTTTCCCTCCATGAGTTGAACTCACTATTAAGTAAGGTTAGAAATCTGCTAAATTAAATTATTTTTATTTACTTTGTGGTTTTGCGTGACTGTTCACTGCCACCCTCCTGAACTCCCCACCACAATATGTATAAATTGACTCTGTTGTTTTTTCATCTTGTATTTTGTCTCTAGTCTAACCCTGATTCCAAGAGAAATCTGAATCTTAACAGAATATTTGTCTGCCCACACCATCTCTGAAATTATGTTGCTTATTCGTTTTTGTACCTACAACTTGGAATCATTGTGAAAAGTAGGTTCAGTAAATTTTGTCACACATAAATGATTTATTTAGGAGGTAATAAATACTAATTTTTTGCTTTATTCCATAAACAGTACTAATGATACAACAACGAATTTTCAGCATTCAGTACAATATTACATTTAATCTGCTCGAAACAAGAAAAAATAAAAATTGTATAATAATATTAACAAAACAGCTATGTAGCAAATTACAGTATGGAATAACGAGAAAAATATGCGTAAAGTATAAAGTAGTAGTAATAATATTAATAACAACTAAATAAAAATCGCTAAGTTATAATTAAACGATAGAAAGGGTGACACCATACAATTACAGAAAGATGAAAGGGTGGATTCACTTTGCGAATTACATAGTGACTTATATCTTTCACGTCTAACAGTGTCTTCATCACATAAAATACGGGCTAAATAGGGTATTGTAGAGTTTTTGTTCTTAGTGATTCGTGCATATAACTTCTTATATTGACTTCGCGTCCTACCTGATGAGATGCATGGGGATAGTTGTGAACAAAGGAGGTGCAGAGGGTCTGACAGTATAGCCTTTGCCCATTTTGAACAGGAACTTATGTGTCTCTAGATTATAATATAGGCGAGCTCGCGCAGTGGCATACCACAAGCCCTACTCACAGGATTTAATACCCTCCGTAATATGATATAGTCTTTTTTGAAAAGCCCAGGAAAGGTTAATGGAGAGCAATAGAGTACAGTGGGTAAAATACGGGAGTTTACAAACTGCAGAAGTAAAGGTTGGTTGATACCTGATTGTCTAAACTTTTGTAGAAGGTAAGACGAAACATTTTCTTAGAGATTGATAAGATGTGGGATCACCATGAAAGGTCAGAGGAAAGAACTAATCCAAGGTATTTAATGCTTGACTTGGTTTCAATTTCAGTGCCATCTATGCTACAGGCATCATGGGAAATAACTAGATCATATATGTCACGTCGATGCTTGAAAGTAAAGTTAACTACCTGACATTTGGAAGGGTTTAACATAAGGCCATTTGACTTAGATCACTTGCTGATGTCCAGCAGAAAACTATTAAGTTTGGAGCAGTCAGACTCGGAAGTGATAGACAGTGACACAGTCAGATCATCCACATATTTGACAAAGTTAGTTTCGTTTGAATGAGGCAGGTCGTGTAGGAAG